ACAATCAACAAAACAAAAAAAGGATCAAGCTCTCAAGCTCCTCAATGCTCCTAAATGCTCCTACTAAGCTCCTCAGTGCTCCTCAGAACAAAACCAAGCTCTCCAAGCCCACAAAGCAAAGCAAACAAAAATACAAGCCCACAAGGGCAACACAAACAATCATCAACTACAAAAATCATCTAAAAATAGTATATTACTATATTAAAATCTAATATAATTTCTAAGGGATCCTACATACCTACCCTTAATACCATTATATGCCCCAATACCTATCTTGACCTAGAAACCCAAAATTCTAATGTTATTATGGACCTATGTTAAGGATTAACCTAATTCTACACAACCTAATGTCATCTAAGCAAATCTAGTCTAAAATTCATCACAAAATTAAGGAATAAATCCAGGGGGAATCTAAAGATTATCTCTAACTATCCTAAAAAGAATGGCCTAAAAATGCTAAGGGAACTACCTAAACAAAATTCTACAAATTCATGGATCAACATAAAAGAAATAAAATGCAATAAAAGTAGAAAATACACAAAAAATATTAAACATGCATGAAATGAAAATACTTTTATTTGATCATTTTCTTGACATGAATATGAAATGGGAGAAAAAATTCCCATTAAAAAATCTTTAATTTTCAAATTGTTATGATTTTTCAAAGTTTAACATAAAATGGAAGAAAATAAAATGAAATATGAAGGGATGGGGTGCAGCTAGTAATGCAATGCAGTTCATTTTATTAATGGGCTAAAAATGGGGGGTTCAGATAGTAACACGCTAAGCCCATAATCCACTCAGAAAATCAATTAAAAAACATAAAGAAAATAGAAAATGGATGGTGCAAATAGTCATGATTTTCAGTTCAAAATCCAAGTGGGCCTTGATTGGGGGTGTGGGAAGCAATCCAGCCCAAAGTTCTTTTAATGAAACGCCGCGTTTCATTATAGTTCAGATTCCCTCTCAAAATGGAATTAAATCGCGGCCCTCAGATCTTGGTCTCAGTCAATGATCAGCTCACCATCCAATGGTCATGAACTCGTCTTCAACCTCTAGCTAGGGTTCCAAGGAGACTCCATGAAAATGCAGAGCTTCAAGCTCTTTCTTCCTCAAACACGAACTCCCTCAATTCCTCATGGAAAATGGAAATTCAAGACCCTATACTGCCTAGAATTTTATGTTGAATCCAACCATAATCTTAAAATCAACTGAATCCTCCTAAATCACTGAACCCGATCCAAGATCCAAAATGAACTCAAACTTCAACTATCATGGTTCTTGAAATTTCTTGGCTCAGAATGATCACCCTCTTGCCCTGATTGATTCTTGATGTCTAGTTCATTCTATATCTCAATATAACACGAGTTCTTGGTCATCAAAGAAATGGGGTCCATAATTCAATCTTCACCAATTGATCCCTAACTCTCCAAAATCCATCACCTATGTGCCTCTAACCTATCTACACTAACCAATCTACCTAATTATGCATAAAACATGGTGTAGGGAAGAATTTGCAAACCTGGTAAATGTTGATGAACAGATGATGAAATCCTTCACTTCAAGCCTTGAAACTCTTCAGAAAGTTTCCTTGGATGACAATCTTGCTACTGTTTGCAACAAATTGGATGGAGGAAGCCTCAATCTCAGAATTCGATTCTGACTTGCTACCTTGAAAGTTCAATCACCAACTCTTCAATTCACCATGGATTTGCTCTCAAATCAATCTGCACAGCTTCACTATGACCTATGGAATGTGTTTGTGTAGAAAAAAGGAATGGAAATGAAGAAAATTGTAGAATTGAAACTTGACTTGCAATGGAAGATTTTTGATCTCACTCTCTCTTCTCTGCACCAACTCTCACCAACCTTTGCTTTTAGCAAGTTCTAATCATCTTATAGAACTTGTAGGAACTGTCCAGAACCTTCTGGAACACTCCAATGATAAAATGAATATCTCACCTCATGATATTTGATTTCACTTCTCACCATATGCTATCTCATGCCATGGTCCTTGTAACCTTTGATTCTGACTTGAAATTCTCCCCATATGAGATTTAGGATGTGTTACAATGCATAACCAACTTGTTTATTGAGTTTTATTGAGTTTTGCTTTGGTACCTTAAGATGCAAGTAAGCCATTTCCAAAGCATCCCTAAGATTTAAGCCTCAAATCAAAATTGTGGCTGAACCATTATTCTTAGAATGTCCTTTGGAGTCAAAATTACCTATTGTATGACATGGTTTGAATGTATAACTTGTGATTTCCAATTTTCAATTTCACCTTATTTAACTTATGCCTCCATTTTAGGCCATTTTTATCACTTTTTGATACAAGCCTTTTCAACATCTCATGACTTCTCTAATAGACTTAAAACATCATTCTAAGCAAGTTTGATGTTGAAGATTTTTCCATTTGAAGCTTGGATATAGGAGATATGGCCTTATGCTTGAAATGACCTATAACCTCCAAATGACCAAAATGCCCTTGACTTGTCAAAGCCATAAGTTGAGTTCTATAAATCCTATCAAGGACTTCTAGTACTCTCTAGAAAGCTAATAAGATGCTATACAACATTCATGTTGACCAAGAATCCATATGAATCATCCTACTAGGGCAAAAGTTGGATGCAAGTTGGGTGACTTTCAAGGACCCATATTCACATACCTCAGATGACCTGTAATTTGTCAAAGCCATAACTTGAGCTCTACAAATCCTATCAAGGACTTCTAGTACTCAAATTAAAGCTAAGAACAAGCTCTACAACATTCATGTTGTGGGGAAGATGAGATGACAATCACATCTTGCGCTAAACTGCCTTGAAGATAGGGATCAAACTAGGGGATTTTACACTGTCAATCCTTAGAAACCCTAGCTTGAAACTTCTCAAACTCCTCAATCATGATGAGTTGGTCTAGGAATCATCCTGATAACATCTCAATGCATCATTCCATGATCACATGGCTCTTGGATTAGGTCTCAACCCTCCCCAAATCATCAGTTGACCTAGGGTTGACCCAGTCAAACCCTAATTCCACCACTCATGGCTGAGTCTTCTGAATTCTTGTACAATGACCTCTCTAGGCTTCATGATGGCTTTCAAGACATCTTACAAGCTTTCTCAAAGCTTCAAGTCCCTCCTCATAGCCTCAGAATCATCTGAGGAGCTCCCACAACTCTCAAGTTATGAGACACACAACCTTGGTTTCAACCAATCTCTCTGAGGATCTCCTGAGTTCTCTGACAAAGGTATCAACCTTTGAACACTTGAACAAACTTCTTGGCTTTCTTCATAGCCTCATATAACTCTTGCTAGGTAATCATACCTCTTGATCTACTGCCCACATATCAATGAGATGCAGATGATGAATACAATGAACCACAAACTTGGTAAATAAATGTTGGTCAAATTTTGGGGTGCAACACTCATTATGTATTTTTATTATGCAGTTTGTCTGGAGGCCGTATCTGGGTCTCGACCATCAGCCTAACCCCGATGATCTTACAGTATGGATAGCAAAAACACCAATCATTCGGTTCATTACAGTGGAGATGCAACAAAGTGATAAAGTAAAAACTGTAGTTCGACATGCAACAAGATATTCCAATCAATCCGATGTGTTTGGGAGACTGACATCAAATGAGAGTAGATGCACAATAAGGTTACGATGATTGGAGAGACTTTGCTAAAGAGATGTGTCGACATTGGAAGAATCGACGCGCCACATCTTAAGCGAGTCTGTCATGGAAGGGGCTAGACCAAGTCGTCAATATATGATTTGGTTTAGGTCGGTTACAACATAAAAATTTATGACCGAGCCGACATATTTGATAGATCCGCGTCAACATGCTTCGTCGTCATACACACAACAATAAGCACCTGCTCAACAACCAACCCCGCACCACACCCAACAATAATATCTACTCACCCAATCCCAACTACCCACATCATACCATCGACATGCCATGTACACCCAACCATCAAACTTCCAAACCCGCAACCCATTCATGCCACCCACCTAAACACAACACAAAAAGTCTGACCTTTACCACCAACAACCACACACCGATACCACGTCTACCTATATCCCTGATGACTCATTCGACTCCACCCCAGCCCACCATAGCCCCCACAAATAAACACACAGACATCCCACCACCAAAACACCCAACCATTATTTGACTACCTTACCCCACAACACCCATTTCACTGTTTCCAAAACGATTCAATGTACCAATTCGGCCAACCATACCGTCCTCACCTAACCCACCTAACCTAACCACTGTGACCCAACTTCGAAAATATGGGAACGAAACTAAATTACGACAGCGCCATTGGCAACAATCCCCCGGCTATTAGGGCCAGATGATTGCAAATATGTCGAATTGTCGGGACCCTCGCACCAAATACCTTATTTTTTAACGTTTAAACTTATTTTTTTAAAAATTCACAAAAGTATATTAAATATAAAGGTAGAGTTGAAAATCTTTCAAATAAAAAAAGTTTGAACCTATACAAATAAAAAATAAAGAATTCAATCAAATGATTTAACATCATTTGATTCTTTTCTCATTTAATTCTTTTTAGATATGTGTCCTCAAAGTATTTAATATAGAGTTGCATTAAAATATTTCTGAAAATAGAAAAATGGATGTTGTTTCCTTTGTCTCATCATCATGCTCTTTTAGTGTTTTCCTTATTGTACTTTTTTAAAGAGTAGACTTAAGAAAGCTACCTTACATTTCACCCATACCATACCCCCAAAAAGCTTTCATTTTCACTCTCACCCATCTGAACAATTAATATTCATTCAACCTTTTCTTTCTCATTTAACCCTTCATAATTCTCTTTAGATCTACTCCACCAACTTTCATTAAACTCAACTCAAACACAAAATACAAACATAAACATTAACACAACCTAGTACTATGCTTCTTCGAACCTCAAATTTCACAACACACTCCTTTCACTTTCATTAGTTCATTCATCTTTTTCATCATGCAATTGCAAACCCATCTCAAACTCATCATTTCATTTTCATTCTTCCTATTTATCCCATCTTTATCTCAAATTGACCAACTCTTATATGCAGGATTCAACAATATTGATTCTAAAAACCTCACCTTGAATGGAATATCAGAGATACAGAAAAATGGAATACTAAGATTAACAAATGAAACAAGCAGGTTAATGGGTCATGCTTTTTACCCTTCACCTTTCCAACTAAAGAACAAAACAACCGGTAAAGTTTTCTCCTTTTCTTCATCTTTTGCTCTTGCTGTTGTTCCTGAATATCCCAAACTAGGTGGTCATGGCATGGCTTTCACAATAGCACCTACAAAGGATCTCAAAGCTTTACCTAGTCAGTATCTTGGTCTTTTCAATTCAAGCGATGTTGGTAATTTCTCTAACCATCTTTTTGCTGTTGAGTTTGACACTGTTCAAGATTTTGAGTTTGGTGATATTAATGATAATCATGTTGGGATAAACATCAATAGTATGACGTCAAATGCTTCTGTTAAAGCTGGATATTACAGTGATGATCTGGTTTTTCAAGATCTTAATATTAAAGGTGGAAAAGCTATTCTAGTTTGGGTTGATTATGATTCTTTGATGAATGTTGTTAGTGTTACACTTTCTCCAACTTCAAACAAACCTAAAAAACCAACCTTGTCTTTTCATATGGATTTATCGCCTATTCTTCATGATACTATGTATGTTGGTTTCTCTGCTTCAACTGGTTTACTTGCTAGCTCTCATTATGTTTTGGGTTGGAGTTTCAAAATCAATGGACCAGCACCTTTTCTTGATTTGTCTTCACTACCACATCTTCCACAGCCAAAGAAGAAACACACTTCTTTGATAACCGGTGTTTCGGTTGCGGCTTCTGTTATTGTGTTGGGTTCTATAGCATTTGGTTTTTACCTTTTTAGAAAAATCAAGAATGCTGATGTTATAGAAGCATGGGAGCTTGAAGTTGGACCACATAGATATTCCTATCAAGAGCTTAAGAAAGCTACAAAAGGTTTCAAGGAGAAAGGGTTACTTGGGCAGGGTGGTTTTGGTAGAGTTTACAAAGGGTCGTTGCCGAAATCAAAGATTCAAGTAGCTGTTAAGAGAGTTTCGCATGAATCGAAACAAGGGTTGAGGGAATTTGTGTCAGAAATCGCAAGCATAGGCCGGCTTCGTCACCGGAATTTGGTTCAGTTACTCGGGTGGTGTCGTCGCAGAGGAGACCTTTTGCTTGTGTACGACTTCATGGCGAATGGAAGTTTAGACAAGTACTTGTTTGAAGATTCAGAATTTGTGCTAAGTTGGGAACAAAGGTTTAAGATAATAAAGGGTGTTGCTTCGGGTCTTTTATATCTTCATGAAGGGTATGAGCAAGTGGTAATACATAGAGATGTTAAAGCTAGTAACGTGCTGTTAGATTTTGAACTCAATGGAAGATTAGGTGATTTTGGTTTGGCAAGGTTGTATGAACATGGTGCTAATCCAGGTACAACAAGAGTGGTTGGAACATTAGGCTATTTAGCGCCGGAGTTGCCTAGAACAGGAAGAGCAACAACAAGCTCCGACGTTTTTGCATTTGGCGCGCTTCTGCTTGAGGTTGCTTGCGGAAGAAGGCCTATTGAACCAAAGGCATTACAAGAAGAGTTAGTGTTGGTGGATTGGGTTTGGGAAAGGTTCAAAGAAGGAAGAGCACTTGAAGTAGTGGATCCTAAATTGAATGGTAATTTTGTTGAAAGTGAGGTAATGATGGTGTTGAAATTAGGATTGATATGTTCAAATGATGTTCCTACTATAAGGCCTAACATGAGACAAGTAGTGAGGATTTTGGATGGAGAAGTTGAGTTACCAAATGAAATGAGAAAGCCAGGAGGTATTGATTCACAAGAGGGGTTTGATGAATTCTTGCATTCTCTTGGAACTACTTCATTTGATAAGACAAATTCAAGCTCCTATGTTGGAAATGGAGACATGAATACTAGTTTTATCTCTTTTGGTAATTCACCTTAGTCACTTGTCAATGCTAGAGGAGAAACAAGGGGTCTCTAAATTATATTGATTTGAGTGGATTTTGTTTACTTGACTTATTCATGATGTTTCTGTTTGTTTTAACATCTCATTAGTTGTGTTGATTATAGAAAGTTTTAGTTGAATATGATGTTTGAGATAGGCGGTTCCAATTTTCTTACATGTTAGTCTTGTAAAAAGTTTTGGACCCTGAATGAAATTGGAAAATTAGTGTGTTTAGTTTGGAATGCATCAGAACTGAGTTTACTTTATGTGAAGTAGTTTTAGTGAGATAAATTTTGCTTTCGTACACCTCATTGTTCATCGGAGTACATTCACACTTTCCAAAGTAACGAGAGCTTAGAGCATGACGACTTTTCTTTTAAACATCTTCTACTTGTACTAAGTACAATAGTATATACTCTTTTTTAGGTAATGTATCGATTTCCCTTATTTTGGACAGATGAGTTGTGCCGATAAAGGACTTTAATGCATACTCCACGAAAATGAGAAGATAAATGAAAAGAGAGGATTCAATACTTGAGTATGTAAGTTGATGAGGATGATAAGATTGAATTTGAAGAAGAAAGTTTTTTAGAGAAATGCACAATGCGAGTGTAGAGGAAAGTAGAAGAAAAAAATTGAGATTCGTCTATTTATAAGGCAAGATAACTAGGTTGAGTAGACCATTGACACCAGACATAACTAGATTGAGTAGACCATTGGCACCAGACAGTAGATTTGTGCATGCTAGTGGTTGATGAAGTATCCACCGCCCAAATTTCGTGTATGCAAATTAATCAACAATTTGTATCATCAGCATCTTCCCAAGACAATCCCATCATTACGAAGAATCAAATGTTTCACGTGCCTCTAGGATCCTATCACACTTAAGGGACTTGTTTTTCTAAGTCTCGTGCATCTTCCTAATACAATCCCATCATTACGAAGAATCAAATGTTTCACGTGCCTCTAAAATCCTATCATGCTTGAGGGACTTGTTTTTTCAAGTCTCATTTGAGAGACTTGACTCTTTGAGTTTTGTCTGAAAAACTATCCTATTCAAGTCTTACATGAGGGACTCACTTTTTCAAGTCTCATCCATAAATGAATTATCGTATCCTTTGTTTAAAACCACTTAAGTTAGCCCTAAAATGGCATAATAGGGCACAGGGAGGGTAAGAGCGACCTTACAGATCAAGCACATGTGTGAGTCTGACCCATAATGTTTCGCTTAGGTCATAGATCCCAACCCATTATTGTATGGATCCAACTGAGGATACATAAAGACGTCATGTTATGTCACATGAGTAAAAATCGCCATTATGACAATTTCAAGAAGAAAATTATTCCTCCTATGAAAGAGGAAGGACTAAGTCTTCCTTTCCCCACGTTCTAGTCAAGCAGTTAGGATTAAAATCAATTTTTCACCTATAAATTAATTCATAAAGTGTGGCTTTAAATATCTCAACTCTTAGAATTATTGGAGAGATTCACTTTGTAGATATTCAACACTCTGAAATCCTATCGCTATATCCCACGCAAACAAGATTCACATTTTTATATTATCATAGGCGCACATCTCATGATCAAATCCTCTTATGTAGATTCACACTTCCAATGTAAATACTAATAAAACTATAAAGAAGTCACATAAATTTAAAGTTTACTAATGTTTTGTGTAACAAAGAAATGAAACTTGTTTATGTAATATTGACACTTGAGCTTACATATGTTCTGATCTAAAGATGAGTATAAAGGAAACATGCATACATAGTCTTTAATAGGATTTTCTCACCGGTAAAATTGAGGGCTTGAGGTTTTACTATGGAATAAACAAATCTTAAAAAATCGCTTCAAGTAAAGTGACAAAACATGAGAAAACGTGTTTTGACAATCAACATATTTTCATACTATTTGTCTTTCACTTTTTTTATTTTCTAGCACTAAACATAGTGAATCATTTACATAGAGTGCAAAGACTCATGAATAACAATGTTGTGTCTTCTACGACAATGAAAATTATTTTTAGGGTAATGGTAATTCCTGCCCTAAGGACACAAGTTAAGAACTAAATTAAGAAATGTTATATTGAAAATTGTGCATTATCTTTAATAAAAATATAAAATTAACTTTTTAATTGTTTTTTTCAATACAAATTTACTATAAGTGGATTTCTTAACTTGTGCCCCAAGAACACAAGTTAGCATTACCCTAGATCTTAAAAGAATTGATTTTTCCAATTTAAAAAAGGATAATGGTAGCTTGTTGTCTGTTTGTATGATATTTTAAAAATTGCAATTTGAGATTTTTTCAACATATATTATTTCATCAACGCCAAGACTTCAGTCATATTGAAACTTCTATCATCTTTTACTTTTTTGTTTTCATTGTCAATATCTAGTCCACTAAACCGACTAATTCAATTCGGAAGTTGGTTCTGACATTAAATGATTTCAAGCTTCCCTCGATCACAATTGCAGTGATCGAATCGTGATCATCATCAAACCGAACACCAATCACCACTAAATTAACTAATTATTGCATATTTTTCTTTGATATGCAATTAGATCATTGTCATGCATAGGGATGACAAACACATGTCCGCCCCATTTAGGCTCGTTCAGGAAAAGTCCGCAAAAAGACAGAACGGAATGTTGCAGTCATAATTGAGGATGTGAGTCTAAAACCTAAGTCCGTCCCGAAAAAAAATGAGTGTGGGGCGAGGAAAATCTGTAGGCACTGCATATTTTAAACATATAAATGCAATTTTTTTTATATAAATGCTTGTGTCCGCAAAAGCCGACAAAAAAAAATAGGACGGAGCAGAACAGACATAGAGAATGAGCGTCTACATTCTTGATCCGCCTTTAGTGCGGGGCAAATCAGCCCAACAAACCAGATCAAAATAACCCAACAAATCAGATATGTTTTATCACCTCTCATCTCTATGCATTTTCCTCCATCTTTTAACTATTAGTCTCATGTACTTTATTGATTCCTAAAAAACAATAAAAGTTTTAAAAACATAAGTGACAACTAAAATAAATCTTTTATTATTATTATTATTATTATTATTATTATTATTATTATTATTATTATTATTATTATTATTATTATTATTATTATTATTATTATTATTATTATTATTATTATTATTATTATTTGGTAATGGGGAGGCCCGATCTTTTATTAATTTTTAATCATATAAAGAAACAAGATTTGAATACAGCTCAAATGTCAAAGTTGCCAAACCTGAAGTAGAGGATGAGGAACATTTTGATTGGCTAAGAATTGGTCGTTGCACACTCCTTTAAAGAAAGAAAGAAAATACTAAAAAAAACACTTTTCTGTTTGGTAAACATTCTTTTGAAACATAGAAAGAATATGGATTCTTTATCAATAAGCACCAACTTGTCGCAGAGACAAATAAAAAATCATTTTCAAAGCTTGATTGTGTTGAATAAAAGTAATATCATAGTTGTTTGTGTTATTAAAGAAAAGAGAAGAAATCATGGTTGTCATTTGTTGATGCTTATTATTGATATTGAATATGTGTTTTTTGAATGGGTGGATGTTATTAAATTAAAATAAGTTATCTTAGGTGCAAAATAATTGATGATAGCTTTAAATTGTGTATGGAAAAAAGATATTTCGTAAATTTTGAGTAAGTGTTTTTATTGAAAATTAAAAATTTCCACACTTGTATTTTTAAATTGTATATTGCTTATGTTAAAGAGTTTTTTTAGGTAACATATTAGGGGGTGTATCCGTTATAGGTATGTCAAAATATTAAATTAATTAAAGAAAAAATGATTTTAGTGTTATTGTAATCGATTATGCATTCTTAGTAATCAGTTATCACTGTTATGATATTTTTTTATTTTTAATAGAGATAAATGTAATTGGTTATAGGTTTTGTGTAATCGGTTATAGGTTTAATGTAATCAGTTACAAGTATGAGAATTTAGTTTTTTCAGTTATTTGATATTGTATCTTGTGTTCCAATTCACTTGTATATTATTTAAATACCTTCGAGGTATTGTTATGATTGTTAATGAAAAATATTCTCACCCTCAATTCTCTCTCTCACTCTCTCTCCCTCTCCACGCTCAATGTCTCTATTATTTTCTAATCTTGTGATTCCAAGTTCAAACATTTGATATTAAGAGTCTGGTTCTAATCCACAAACACCTAGTGTGCAACATGACTTTTGTCTCCAATGAAAGAATTCATGCAAACCTACCTCATCCTTGATGCGGAGAATTACAATAAATGGTGCAAACAAATGAATGTGTCGTTTGGCTACCAACATGTTCTTGAAGTGATTAAGAACGAGGTGAATCCTCTTGTCGAAGGTGTAATGAATGCACAACGAACAACACACAAGAAAGATAAGAAGAAACGTTTTAAGACACTATTTGTTATTCATCAATGTGTGGATGGTGAAAACTTTGAGAAAGTTGGTGATTGTGAATCGTCAAAGCAAACATGAGAAATCTTAAAGAAGGCATACACAAGGGCTGGCAAGGAGATGTTGATGAGGTTACAAACTCACAAATGTCAACTTGAATTGATTCAAATGGAGGAGAAGGAAACCATCAATAATTTCACAATAAAAATCACTCGATTAGTGAATCAACTAAAGACACGTGGAGAAACAGTCGCGGAGCAATATGTTGTCGCGAAAATTTTGCATTCTTTAACACCAAGATTTGATAACATAGTTTTAGCGATTGAGAAACAAAGGATCTTGTGATGATGAGTTGCAAAGCTCTCTCGAGACTTATGAGAAAAGGATGGAGGAGAGAAATAATGATAAGGGAAAGGCATAGATCGCTTATGAACAACAACAACTTTGGGAATGCTGCAAAAACATGTCAAAATGAGTAAGAAATGTTTAATTCAGTGCAACAATGAATGGTATTTGGACTCTGGGTGTTATAATCATATAACAGGGAGGAAGGATTGATTTGTTAAAATCAATTGTGCCATGAAAAACA